CACAACTCTTACGGAGTCCTGCAAACCAGCTTGACGTAGACAGGTTCTCACCGCTCTACTTAACTCTTCCGATACATACGGCAGACAAAAGGGGACCATGTTATCAGACAAATTTGCCGCTCTCCGAACCACGCGAGCTTGAGACTGGCCGCATTCTTTCATGGAATACCCGTTGCTTTCTGCCACGTCGTGCGCCAATTTTATTGATGCCAGACGTTCCTCTGTGCCGGATGCGATCTTACTTGCCGTTCTGAACATGTTGGTGATGACTGCCCTTTTGATTGATCTAGGATGCGCTGAACGACAATGAACCAAAATATTCTTATTACTAGGTTTACGATACCATCTGGTTCTCCATTCTCCTTCCCATAGATACACAAGCACATTGAGAAATGGGAGCCATCTATCCTTGGGCTTTTCTCTAGTAAACTTAATATGAGATGACTGCTGATTGAGAAGCTCAAAGCAGGTGTCTAATTCCCTTTGAGTTGAGCACACTATGCAGCAGTCATCTATGTAGCGGCAGTAAAGAAGAGGGTGTAGATCCAGGACCGGGCTTTCTACCTTGGACATGAAGGCAATGGCTAGTGTGGGGGCTAGCCTCTGTCCCATAGCTAACCCTCTTATCTGCCTGTAGTACTGCCCCGCCCAACGGAAGATGTTACAGTCCAAGCACTCCTGAAGAAGCGTCATCACCTGTCTCGTTGTGAAACCGTAGAGATTGATGGTCCCTTGATGCTCAAAAAGAAGCTCAAAAATTGCCTCCATGGCTGCTTCATTGGACACGTTTGTATATAACGACGTCACGTCGAAGGATTCCATTACACAACTATGACCGAAATTTGTAGATCGCAACTTTTCTAAAAACATGTTGGTGTTGGCAAGATGCGCAGGAACATGTTGAAGAATAGGCGAGATAATTTTATTTAAGAGCCATGCCACTCTATCCGTAGGGCCTCTTACATTACTGATGATGGGCCTGACTTTAAAAGTGCGAGGGTCCGTAGAAGCCAGAGAAGTGCTGTCGAGCTTATGAGTCTTTATGAGCAAATATAGAACGGGACAAACCGGCAGATCGCATTTCAAACGTGCAACGAGATGTTTCGGTACCCCAGCTGTTTTGGCGGTCTCAACCCAGACTCTGTTCAGACGGCGATACTGTCTCTCGAACTCTTTGATAGATGATGGTCGGTACAAAGTATCATCTTCCAGGTGATATCGTATTATGGCCATGTCTAGATCGCGAGGGATCACCACGAAGTCGCCCTCTTTATCACTAACTGAAACTCTGATCTCTCCGCGAGAACAGAGATCACGTAGTTCTTGCAAACCAAGCCTTTGCGCGCGTGTGAGATTGCCCGCAAGATGATTTTTGGAAAGGCGTTGCAAAACTGTGTGAACTGAGGTAGTAAACTGTCTAAACTTGCAATCTACCGAGGGAACGGGCTCTTGAGGCTTGAATAACAGCGTAGGAAAAGGCGGCACCAAAGGAAATCTTTCTAATGCCTGTCTCTGCTGTTGGCGTTCATCGCACCTTGCTCGATATCGTAAACGATCATGAACGAACTGCAGGTTTCCCACGATCTTGCGTACGACCATAGGGCCGATTTTTGGGGTGGTCTTGGCTCCAAAAACCGCTGTATTACGGTGAGCGTTTGCTTTGTCTTTCCTCACATACTGCTTTTGATCTCATTTGATCTCTTGAATTGATCGCTGTGGTCAGATGCGGCGTCTGAGGGGGTATGTCACCAAATGGTCTTTGATTTCCAGGCTCCGACGAAGGCGAGGACGCCGAAACGTCAGCCATCAATAAAAAGATCATACCATCTTGGCTTAGCTACAGCAAAAATCAATATCGGATTACCATGCCAAGATTCAAAGAAGGTCGAACCTTTGAAATTTTGAGTACAAAAATCTGTTTTTCTGCCCGATCAAGTTGCCCTACGTGCCGCTTGAAAACCGTTCAAAAATTATAAGAACTGTCCCAAACGTACAAAAATCTGTTCCCCTGCCCGATCAAGTTGCCCTACGTGCCGCTCGAAGACCGTTCAAAATGCCCTACGTGCCGCTTGAAGACCATTTAAAAATTATAAGGACTGCCCCAAACGTACAAAAATCTGCTCCCCTGTCAAGTTGCCCTACGTGCCGCTCGAAGACCGTTCAAAATGCCCTACGTGCCGCTTGAAGACCATTTAAAAATTATAAGGACTGCCCCAAACGTACAAAAATCTGTTTTTCTGCCCGATCAAGTTGCCCTAGGTGCCGCTTGAAAACCGTTCAAAAATTATAAGAACTGTCCCAAACGTACAAAAATCTGTTTCCCTGCCCGATCAAGTTGCCCTACGTGCCGCTTACAGACCGTTTAAAAATTATAAGAACTGCCCCAAACGTACAAAAATCTGTTTCCCTGCCCGATCGAGTTGCCCTACGTGCTGCTTACAGACCGATAGTAACTATTCAAAAAGAAAGTTTAAGCCCTAAGTGCCGCTTGAAGACCGTATATATAAGAAAAAACATCTACGACCCCTAAAAACAACGAAATCAGGTATTTACAGCGTATTCTGAAATTGCCGTACATGCCATTTTTGGACTTTCAATTCTGAGAACTGCCCCAAACGTACAAAAATCTGTTTCCCTGCCCGATGCAATTGCCCTACGTGCCGTTTACACACTGATTCCTAGTTGAAAGCGCAAGCGGTACCCATTAACAAGCAAAAGCAAGGCTGTTATTAGATAAACGTTTCCAAAAGTACCAGCGAGACCAAGTTACTCACGCACTCTCTTGTCTACACGTGGAAGCAAGACGATCCTAAAGTGACTGTTCTTAGTTAGAGCATTTTTACAAGAGTTGGGAACTTAGATGAATTTAGCTCAAGTCACGCTGTTACGCAATTTGGCATCATTTCAAAAGCAACTAATAGAAGTACGACATATTCGGAAGACACACTCTGGAATAACAAGCTCGAAAAAAAGCAGGTACAAGTATTAACACACCCGGATGGCGACCCATTCTCAAAATCATTGCGACACTCATGATTGCCTTTCGAAATACGTGTGACCCTTTTACGAAAATAGGCTTGGTCACTCGTTTTGAAATTTGGCAGCGTTCCAAAACGCATGCCACTTGGCAGCAATCCAATTCCAAAGATCAGTGTATTTCATCATAATTTTTACGTCTGCGGCCTCCTCGTTTGCCATGATCCAACTATCGGGCGGCTTAATGGGTAAACAACGAATTCGTTATATATTACGTAGTGATTCGAGCAGCTGATGCTCGTTCTATGACAATGCGATGCGCCTCCCCAAGCTCTCTGCTTTTTTGCCCCGTTTCCGCACATGGTATTTGATTAATTCCTGCTACGCTAAGCTTTGCCACTCCTCGAAGTGAGGGAAAGGGGCTGGAGGAACACAAGAAAGCGCACGAAGTTTGATTGAATCGGTAGTTTACTCTCCCCCAACCTATTGATCGAGGATGCCACATGTTAAAGTCAATAGTAGTAGAGCTAACCATAAAGTGAACGAGGTCTGCAAGCGCTCCGCAAAAAATTACTGTTGAGAGGATCTTTAGAATTGAGGGCCCTTATCCTCTGCTTTATGGCTTTTATGTTTAATTCCCATTCTAGAAGGTGTAGCAAAAAACGGCCCCAATTTCGCGTCAGAAGAAAGTTTTGAAGTAAAAGAGACGGACATAATGAAAGGACCCCTTCAATTACTTCAAATATGGGTCACGAGAAACAATATAAACCGCCAGCCGCTTACGGCAACAGCATGGCGGTGCACTATTCCAAAAATGCGAATCGACCTAGTGAAAATGCATAGCTGAAATGATTGCTATACTGAATAAGTTTTGCTCACGAGCCGGTGATAAGTGCAATTTGATAATGCCATTGCAAAAAATGTGATTTCAAAGCTTTGAGTTTTGAAAATCGTTTTTTTGGTAATGTAAAGTACTTTCACACCTCATTTTTAAGCAAAAATCTATTCAACTCTGCATTCTAACTGCTCAGGGATTCGCGCCGTGCGAGCGGTCCTCCTATAAGGGCTAGCGTACAAGCGGTCGGCATAAGCCTAGAGCTTCCGTGCGTGCAGCAAACAGCCGAAGCGCCGTCAAGCTGCAGGCAATGTTATTGTGCAAACGGCCGGCAACGCATTTGCTCGAGCGAGCGGCCAACAATGTGTCCGTCTTATCGGCCGGCAATACCAGTTGCCGCGCAAGCGGCCAACAGTGACCTATAATTTTTTCTCGCAATTCCCACACGTTGGGAGCGTAAACGGTACCTGCGTGAGATATGACGCAGCGTGTGGGCTGCCCTGAACGTTGACGTGTTTATTATCAACATTTTTCTTCAACAGCAAGACTGAAATGAACCTGTGTGAAGTTACAGTTAGCAGGAGTGATGGTGTGGGCTTCCCGGAGAGATTTTGCCATTGCCAACATCGATCCACGTTCGCAGAACGTGAACAGGACTAATATATCTAAGAAAAACAATGGTCAAGCGATTCCATACAAAATTACTCCAGCAGCAAGCGAGCGGGCGACCTTCTCGGCGCAAGCGGCGAGTATTAGAAGCGTGTGGGCGCCCCACGTTAACCGTACCACCGGCCCTTGACGATCGTACAATCGCACACACCAACCAGCGTTGTAGGTCGCCGCCCGCACGGCGCGACTCTGAGTGAAAGCGTAGTTCTAAATTTCTGCGGCGGAAAGAAATGGGGGCCGGTTGTTGACACCCACCAGCTATCCTTCCTCTTTGCTAATGGAGTACCCCTATACAAAGATCAACGGTTGACGATGGAAAATGTGGGTAAGAACCTCAACAAAGTCCAAGCACTTCCATTTACTGCATATCACGCACAGATTAAGGTTAAAATTCTCTATACACTTGTTTACTCTCATACTTACACCGTAGCAAAACACTGGTTGACTGGAAGATAAGAAAAATGATGTGAGTGCAGAAAGCAGCACGTTACGAAGTCCATGTAAGTAAAGTGAGTCAAACCTTTTGGCCTTGTGCAGTTTCAAGGAGCTCATCCATTTCGGAGATTGACATATTCAAACGGCCAAATAGCAGTCTAGGTATCCTGGAAACCATACCACATCTAGTTTATTCTAGTGTCTGAATAGAAGACTCTTTCTCATGATTAACAGAAAATGGACATTTCGGCCTAAATTTGGAAAAAAATCTGACATGCAGAAAGCTACTGGCAGATAGACTACGATTGATAACGCATCAAACTTTACTAAGACTTACAAGTGCTTAGGCGCGGGCTTGTTGTTGAAAAACTTGAAGTCAAAATCCAACATTTTCTCCATTTGCTTTACTGTTACTTCTTTCTTCACGTAAATCAGTGTTCTAAAAACACTGACACAAGAATGCTTATCAATCATGGCTCCAAAACACTGACTTATGAAGAAAACCATAACGTAACACCCACAATTCTTTGAAAACAAAATTGAAGAAAGACAGAAAGGCGAAAGGATACCCGGTAGGAACGTCGGTGTTCTGCGAACCACCTCCACCTCCATAGCTGTCATCAGCTTCAATGACGCTGCGTACAGAACGATACGTCTGACATCCTCTTCGAACACATCTAAAAATAGTGCCATATGGATGAATGCTCCCACAAAAATCACGATACAAGACCTGTAGACAACGTAAAGACGAATTCCTTCTTTGTGCTTTATTTTCCGCAAACCTAGCCTCATTGGAGAGTCGCATAGATGACAAAAGATTTTATCGGGAACCTCTATTGTCTGGCCGTTGAATGATACGATACGTGAGGACGCTGAGGCACTTCCTCAAAGAGCGATTGAGTTCACTCAATAGTTATTGTTAGACTATACCATCTTGCACTGTAGAGCTGACTGGAAGACTTTCTAAGGTCACTGGACCGGACATGTGAGGTTTCGCGATGCTTCCAGTAGATTTTGCCTATAACAACAGTGAACGCTAAGGTGCAAGGAATTCATCGCACGCAGAGACAAATCGCCACTACAGACGCACCGGCGTCCAGTCTTTGCGTGTGATGTACTCCCTATAGACAATTTTTACCGAAACATCGCTCCTTGCTTTCAACGCTGCGAGAGCTTCCGCTAGATCTTTATTGAGCTGAGGCAACGTGAGACTGTCATTCGCCGCTTGTGAACTTGACAACCGTGGTTTGCGAATGCCTCTGGCGCGTCCAAACGTAACAGAGGAATATTTGGAAGTGATGCTATCTAAAAAGCGACAGTCAGCTGTAAAACTCTTTGTGAGGATTCATACATGCCTGACGTGACGCTGTTCAATTGGGATGATCGGCTGAGAGGAGATGAAGGGACCCCATTCCGCAACTCGGATTTGTGTTCCCTTGCTGGAGACTTCGGAAGCGGAGCTTGAGAAATCGACTCTTCTGGCAAGATGGAGGTATTTGCAACGCCATTTTTAGAACCCTGCGAAAACACACTTAGAAGATAGCATCTCAGACTGTACATTAACACATTCACGACAAGGACATTCATTCAGGACAAGGACATTCAGGACATTTTTTGATTACTGCCGTTTCGGACCTCTTTTCGCTTTGTCAAACTTACGACTCACCCGTGGGTCAAATTGTCCGAGTAGTTTTTATGGAAAAAGTTCAAACCATACCCCCAAGAACTTTTCCAAAGTGGTAATCGAAGGCGCTGATTATTAAAAAACAATTTCTTTCACTTTTTGGCGTTATACGGTAAGGTTACGGGAGTCATCCTGTAGAAGCCAACTTCATGGATTTTTATTAAAAATGTGTCACCCGGGCACGGCTAATTGAGTTTACCACCCACGCTGCGACTGTCACGACATCTGACAGATACATGTCTCGACAACTGAAGATGATTTGTGATTTATGACATATGACACTGCCTGATTGCGTGCGACTGAGATAGCAAGCTAACCCCAAGGTCTACCCTTGATCTGAAGTGACCCCGGCTCAAGCAGCTTGAGTACCGCGCGACTGCCTCTCTTGAGCTTGCCAAGATTTTTTATCATTCATTCATTTTTTCAGATCATTTTCCCACTCCTAACTAGCGAGCCTGCCTCTGAGCCATTACCACGTCAGGCGTGGAAAGATGATCAGAAGACACGTTCGCGAACGCGGCGCAGGGTCCGGGCGAGGCGTCCGCGAAGGTTTCGAGCCGCTCAGTCGGGCTCACTCCAAATGAGAAGAGGGAAGATGATGCTATATAAGTCTTAAGTCCTTTCGAGGCATTCTGAGGAATTTATCAAATATCGAAATCCATGGGAATGCAGATTGCGATGGGTAGCTTTCTCCATGTTTCCAACATTGGCAAACATTATAAGTGTGTTTCGAACATTCATCCAACTAACAAGGAGAAGATGGTTGGTCGAAATGCTTTGAAGATGGGATGTATACCATCTTGGAGGGCATAAAACGCTGATATCAAATCTGTTTTCCGCATCTGTGGAGCATTCATGGGTGATGAGTTATGGTTGTTTATTGGAGCAAAAAATTCGGTGAATTTTTGGGATAAAATCAGTAACTGAAATTATCTTCCCACCGTTCGAATGAGGCAGCGAAGTATGGCCGTATCTTATTCAAAGGTATTTAGGTAGGTGGTAAAGTGCTCTGATTTCTCACTGCTCCATCTAAGTAGGGAAAAGACCACGACTATTTCTACCTTTCCACATTTAATTTCTTGCTCCACTAAAAGCTCATAACTCCTCGTCCAGTGATGCTCCGCAGATAAGAAAGATAGATTTGGAAGCAGGTTTTACATACTCCATAATGGCACATATCCCTTCTCAAGTTGCCACTTGACTAACCATCCTTCCTTTGTAAGAAGGAGCATGCAACTGTTTGTGCAGCTAGTTCCCGGGACAAGAGTATTCCCCTCACTGCTGAGCACAAAGTAGTTCTGAAGAAGCTCCCCGCTGACTTCTAATAACAACATGAGGTTAGGGAGAAAAACCAGAGATACGAGAAAAAGAGACAGTAAACTGAACACATACCTTGAACCGTTGTCTTTGGCGCGCATTACTGTACGCCTGGCAAGATTGCGCCATCACCCAGAGTTTTGAGAGGGCTGTAATTGAAGTACATACCAACAAAGTCGACTTGAAGAATTTCCGTTCACCTGGGTCAATCGCCTCACCCGTGTTTGGAGTAAGCAAAAGCGTCGAAGGCGAGCTTTTTCCACACAATTTTGAATTTGGACGTGTGGAGCAGAGGTCATCGGTCGAAGGCGTAGAGTCGTTGCGGGACCCTACACTTCGGTCACCTTGTGTGGTAGCGCGCACCGGTGTGCAGTTTCAAATCGCTTGTGCGGCATCGCGCTGAAAGTGGGTGTCTCATCGCTTTTTTCGGAGCGAATTCCGTTCGTAAACTCTTTTTTGCTCCGAGCTTCAGGACCGCTGCGGTATGGGCTGCGATACTGCTACGGCAAAGCCCTCTTCTTTTTCTATTTTGCAGGAACGCTGCCTTTGAGCGGAGTAGAGTTGATTTGCGGCGTTTGAGGAGCTAGCGTAGGGAAACGAGAAGAGCGCTCCAGATTACGACGCGGACTCGTCTTGGTCGTGCCATCGATTTCAATTACAACAGACCCAGTGTTCACTGGAGATCTTGTCCGGCTGCTGTCATTAGAAGCAGTCAGATAAGAACACAAGTTGTAGTTGTTGTGCTTATCTGTGGTCATCCGCTACACTGGAGCCGAAAATCTATCTAGAGAGCGCGAGAAGGCGAGAATAGGCTTCCTGAAAGTCCTATGATTTATATCGGACAAATAAAGCAATTCGCGCTAAGGCCAAGGCACGGAGTCGCCAGGACCCTAAGATCTCTACTGTGACGACATCGGGTAGCGGACTACATGTCGCCGATAGGCTCACCCCGCGCGGGCCTAATATATCTGTGTGCCTGCGATGTGTGAAGCAGTGCGGTTTGTCGATTTCCGCGTGAGATCACCCCTCTTCGGTGAGTTACGGGAACGAATGCCGCCAGTTCGAGCCGCCTTTTGCGGCCAACTGGTCCTTTTGCAATGTTGTTGCATGTCGTTGCAGGATAGTTCAGGGTGGAGGCGGCCTAAACTGATGGTTTTCGTTTCCCCCCCCCCCCCCCCCCTCCCCCCTCCTTTCTGGCGACAGGTCCCCCACCCCAATATGTGCTTTGCCGCAAGAGAGATAGCCACAAGCTAGTCCTACTTTGCCATTAGGGCGTAGTTTACCCAAGTTCCCGACCATAATGCTCGCTCATATTACATTATGGGCTCGCACTTGTGCGATTGTGCGTTAGAGGGCGCTCACTTTTGCATGCTACTCCCTCACGCTCAAACTTGCCCGATACTGCCCTCGGCTGCCATAATTTCAACAAAGCCACAACTCAACTGATCGGCGTTCTTTTGATCCTTAAAGGCAGCGTCCAGGCAGATCTGAACCTATGGGGATTTTACGTGGAAAGTAGGGGCCCTAACTAAGTCACTGCCCAAGCGGTAGCGCAGGTAGTGCTCTAACGGCTGAGATATTTCCCTCGAAAGTGGACCCCGCGATCGTATTCGCATGGATTCATGGCAGTTTCGCGCCAGGATCCACGCTTTTGCGCCATGACATGCGGAATACTATCGCGGGGTCCAGTTTTGAAAGGAATATCTCAGTCGTTAGAGCACTACTTGAGCTGCCGGTTTGACAGTGGCTTAGTTAGGGCCCCAAAATTACTATCCACGTGAGATCCCCATGTGTCCAGACTTCCCTGGACGCTGCCTTTAACACTGCTTCCTCAGACGGGGTCTGCTACTGCTGTCAGCCTCTCCATACTTTGTGCCGACTGTCGGCACTTCCTAACAACCGTATCTCTCCTGTTACCAAAGTACCTCACAGGTCATGCCATAAGCATGACCTGCTGTGATAGTTTGTTATGTTACTCTACCACGCCTATTATCGTTAGCATTCTACCACGGCACCTACGAGTGCTAGTCGACTGTTCATAAAGCTCTATAGCTAATGTGTTCTGTATAACACACATCAAGGGGCGCTATTTCGCCTAAGGCTACTAAAGCCTAAGAACCACCGACACATTTGGTGCATCGGCCAAACACGACCGAGATCATGCCTCGCTTCCAAGGAGGACAGCGGAAGCCACAAGAAAGTGATGCGACTCTTCATCTCATCATAAAGGACCTGAAGACGTACACTAAGAATCTCGCGGACATACTGCAGAAATACCAGCACTATGGTGAGAAAATTACTCTTCCAGATGACGAACAAGAACGACAGGAGTTCTGCCTACACCATCTGGACCTACTACCAATATGCATCATGGAAATCAAAACCGGCAAAAACCAGCTGGAATCGAAAATTGACGTCATGAGGAAGCACTACAAGGAAAGCTCCGAAATGATGAGACAAGCCATGGCAAAGGAAATGGACGCGCTCCAAGAACAGATAAGATTTTTTCAAATAGCCGGCAATGCTCAGATGTTTACGTTTGAGCTAGAAATGCTCGCTACAGATATTGAGATAGAACTGGCCGCAATAGGAAGTAGAAGAAGATTTGCAACAAATCAAAGTAGCATTAGGAAGGTTCTACACAGACACATACTGCATGCCGGATTTCCATACGCTGAAGAAATAGCAAGTCACACTGCAAACGATAAGCCAGACGAACATAACAATGACGAGAAGATTTGTGAAAATGATGGATATCGCGAGTTCGAGGCTGAAGGCACTGATGTACTACCAGCTATTGCAGATGAGAGCCTGACCTTTGCACAGGTCACACTACCAGGATCGCCTCTGGCAAAGGCATGCAATAATATCAGTGAAGAACGCCAACTTCAGAAGTTACGATCATATAAGAACAATAAGAAGAGAGGAATTTATGAACTTCATCTAGTACCAGTGCCAGTGAAGATCAGTTTGATAGCACTTTCCATTGGCCTGCACTATAGTTTAGATATATCTACTTCACTTTTTGGCAGCCGCTACACAAGAAGGATTCCTGTGTTCACTCGCGTTCCGGTGCAACGACGACCATTACGAGACCCAGACAAAGGCACCGCTTCATGGATAAATGTTGTTGCATTACTAATTCTGCTATCACTTTTCAATCCATTTGTCCATTCCTCTTGCCGGGCGGAGTGTGCCGGTACAACCGACCCCCTTTCTATCGCACAGATATATGTTGTACTTCTAATTCATTTCGTTGCTCTCCCCCCGCTGGCCGGAGTGTGCCGACTGTCGGCACTTCCTAACAACCGTATCTCTCCTGTTACCAAAGTACCTCACAGGTCATGCCATAAGCATGACCTGCTGTGATAGTTTGTTATGTTACTCTACCACGCCTATTATCGTTAGCATTCTACCACGGCACCTACGAGTGCTAGTCGACTGTTCATAAAGCTCTATAGCTAATGTGTTCTGTATAACACACATCAAGGGGCGCTATTTCGCCTAAGGCTACTAAAGCCTAAGAACCACCGACACATACTTCAACTTGAACTTCTTCTATAACTATCAGAAATGCTTTGACTTTGTCTATGCATTTTAGCTTTCGTCTTCCTCTTAGTACTTCTGCGGACACTGTGAATCTAGCGACGTGATCCTCTACTCTTCTTACATCGCCCTCCCATCAAAGTCATTTCTTTTGTCTTCTTTACGATCAGGGCGCTTTCATCTTCTCGAATGGTGTCGTTGGTGATGCGGTCGTATATGGTGGCTCCTGACGTCCATCTTAGCCAGTGGCAGTCTCAGGATTTTCCCTTTGGGAGGGAAGGTGCAACGAAAATTTTTTTCGAGTAAAGTATATGGCTAACGCCGAAAGCTTTTTGGAATGCTTCGCAAATTTTGCGTAATAACCCAAAATTTCAGAAAACGGGGGGGGGGGGGAAATTCTTTTTACAAGGCTAATATGAATTCCTAAAGATTTTCAAAAAATATTCGAAGAATTTATGAGTTTGAGCAATTCACTTGCACATTTTTATAACCCACGTAAGGGACCCCCCCCCCCCCCCCGCGGTCCGTTCTTAACTTAGACACTCGCGGTTGACGACCGCAAGTGAAAACGGAGTCCGAGAAAAATAATCAACAGTGAGGTAAGGTTGAGCAAAGAAGATATTTGTACGTGAATTGTTTATGTATAGGAAAGGAGGAGTCTGTTGAAAAAAGGGCTCGGTGACGGGTGTGAGTAATGATTTCTGGAGATTTTCGAGTTCTTAACATAAAAATTCATAACTTCTGTAGTTGAACATCTTGTACGCCTTGATGGTCACCATTGGAACCGTCTCATCCTCCGAAAATATATAATATGTTTGGGGTCCGTTGAAAAAAGTGCCTGGGTGAAGGGTGTCCTAGTGATTTTTGTAGATTTTCGAGTTTTTAACATTAAAAAAATTTTATAACTTCTGTAGATGAACATCTTGTATGCCGAGATGGTCACCATTAGAAGCGCCTCGTCCTCCGCTTTCAGAAAATATATACTTTGTCTGGGGTCCGTTAGAAAAAATGGCGGGTGAAGGGTGTCCTAGTGATTTTTGTAGATTTTCGAGTTTTTAACATAAAAAAATTTAGTTGCAGTTCTTCGTCTTCTTTGAAGGCAGTGTCCGGGCAAGAGGGGATTTCGGGATTTCAGTGCCATGCGAGAGTGCCCCCCTTCGGACAACATCGCGCAAGTGCGACGTCATAACACTCGACCTAAAGCAAGAAAAACGACCGGAAAGTGGGGAAACTTACGCCTTAGGGCGGGGCCCTTCGAGCTGTCCGAATTCCTGCTAGGCGGCGGAGTACGCGTGCCGCCACAGTTAAAATGTAGGGTCCGCAGCTACTCTGTGTCTCTGCTTTGGTGGGGACCATCGAATTTCAAATTTGCGACTTTGGAAATCGTATGTTCTCGCCATTTTCGCGCCTTCCAATGTGGATTTTCTGGTTCAGCGTTGCTATAACCCCTGGTAAGTGGATTTTCTTAATATCGAGTTTTTGCCTGGACACTGCTTCTAAGGCGATGCGGATTTCGTCTTCCGTGATATTTAGGACTGGGCAATGTACAGGCTTAGCCGTGGTCATCGATATATATATTTGTGCTTGTTGACACTACCTTTGCTGATCTGCTCTCCGCTTTATCTCTTGCGGTGTTTTCATCTACAACTGCTTGTCTTTGATGTAGAAGTGCTTCATATGCTTCAAAACTCTCTGAGGTCGTCATCCCGGGCGGCTGTTGTCATCATTTCTCTTTCTCTCTCTTTCAAAATTACCATTCTCATACCTCCTTCTACAATCATTTCTGCTCAAATATCTATTTAGTACCTGTCTGAAACTTTTACGACTGGAAATATCTCTTTAAATCTAT